GGCAAGGACGACTCGCTGGTGTGGTGCAACTACCTCGGCGGCACCAACGGCAAGATCCCGCGGCCGTCGGTCGACCAGGCGACGCTGCTCAAGCATATCCTGGCCTAGTGTGGATCTATGGTTGTCGTATTTAATATAAATAATCTTTGTGATCTCTGAACACAAAGCTGGTTTCGTCGTGCAGTGGTGTGGTCATTACCACCTCTTGATGAGAACCCTTACTTAAGTATATTTGCAGCCTAGTGAATAGATCAGGACTGTAGTTTCGACGAACGTTGGAGACAACCCACGACACGGTGATCGACCTACACTACACACTCTTCTAGCCCCTTACTCGCCTCCATGCGGTCTCATGTAAAGGTCAATGCAAGAACAGGAGGCGCGTCGCCTCTGCCACCACTTACGGAGCCTTGTCCACCGGTGCGGCACCGAAACCTTGGACCTTCAAGCACCAATGCTCAACACTTCGTGGCTTGGCGACGCATCGACGAGGCTCCTGAGGTGCGTAGGGCGGTTGTTGTGAGGGCTTCGGCGGTGCCAACTGCAAAAGGCGCGTCGATGAAATGTCGGCATTTCCGGCTGCCACGTATTACATCGCTTCGAAATTCGAGATGCCATTGACAGTTTTGTATGGATGCGTGTCAAGCCGGTTAACTTCGAACTTCGACAACGACGTTGTGGCACCAGCAATGGTGGCTCATTTGGGATTGTGCGACGATGCAGACGTCGCGCTACAGCTACAACGACCCGCGAACGACCGACATGGTCATCCTCGAGGAGAGCGATGCAAAGGACACGAACGCCTTCATCGACGAGTTCGAGCGCCGCAAGCGAAACCGCATCTTTGCGATCCTCGGCGCCGGCGTCATGGTCGTCGGCATCGCTGTCGCTGTCGTCGTGCTCGCCGGAGGCAGCGACTCGAGTAGTAGCCAGAGCTCGGCCAACACACCGACGAAGGCGCCCAACAGCAACGGCACTGTGAGCGGCAACGGCGGCAACTCCGAGAGCGTGGTAACGTCAACGCCGACAACGGATGGCGCGTGGTCGACGACGGGCAATAGCTCGAGCGGCGACACGACGTCGACAGCCCCGACAACCGGGCCTTTCACAACGGTGCCTGTCGATGGCAATGCCACGCCGAGCCCCGCAATGACAACAACTCAGACCGGTTCGACTGGAGAACCGACGACTGCCCCGGGTCCGCAACCAAGCGGAAAGCCAAGCTCCGCTCCGGGTCCCCAGCCCCCGTCATCAGCGCCGTCGCCGAATTCGACACCGTCATCTCAACCCAAGCCGTCTACTCAGCCGACCACTCAGCCCAGCTCGCAGCCCCAACCTAGCCCACAACCGAGTTACCAGCCAAGTCCTCAGCCGCGGCCACGTCCTCAGCCTAGTCCCCAACCACAGCCGAGTCCCCAGCCTCAGCCGAGCCCAAAGCCCAGTCCGCAGCCCCAACCGTCTCCGTCGCCGTCGCCCGCTCCGCAACCCGGTCCCTCCAACGGCGACCTCAAGGCCCAGATCATCCACCAGACCACCGTCCTCCGCGCCGCCCACGGCCTCGGCCCCGTCACCTGGAACGACGAGCTCGCCGCCAAAATGCAAGCCTGGGCCGACTCCAACCCGCAGAAAAACGGCGGCGGCCACGGCGGTCCGCCCGGCAACCAGAACCTCGCCGGCTTTGTCGTCTGCAACAACGACTGCATGCACACAGAGGGCCCGGCGTGGAACTGGTACTCGAGCGAAGAAAAGCTGTGGGACTACAACTCCAACCAGAGCAAGGACGGCAACTGGATGACGACGGGTCATTTCTCCAACTCGATGGACCCGGGTGTCAACCAGGTCGCGTGCGGCTACTCGACGTACTACAACCCGAACATTGGCAAGGACGACTCGCTGGTGTGGTGCAACTACCTCGGTGGCACCAACGGCAAGATCCCACGGCCGTCGGTGGACCAGGCGACGCTGCTCAAGCAGATCGTAGCCTAAAATCAGCTTCATTGAATGTTGTGTGTAACCACTTTGACGTTTTCGCATAAAGTGCAAAGTGAGGGAGTTGTGGCGCCAGTATGAACGCACTGTATACGGCGAGTCGCAGCAAACTCAGTGATGACATGAGCGACTCGGACCTGAGCGACTCGGATGCCGAGTTGCACTCAGTCGACAGCTCGGCGTCGCTCTCGACACGCCGGCGTCGGTCGTCGCTGCAGCCCCGGCGCCCGTCCTTCTCTCGCATCGCTTCCAACCAGCAAGTGCGGACACCGATCGATGTGCCGGCCGCAGCGCTCGACCGCCTCACTGCCGCCGATCGTTTCCAGTCTCAGTGCTTCTCGGCCTACGTCCTGCAATGCGAGATCGCCGATTTTAACCTCTGGCTCGCAGCGCGCGTTGTCCCCTTGTCGTGGTGCGACGCTGCGATAGCCTTTCTGGCGCCACTTAACGACGACGTGCGCGCCAGCCTCGATGCGACGTGGTGCCTTCTCAGCTCGCTCCAGCCTCCGTTTCATCCCGCGCGGCTGGAGCTTTTCGAGCGGCAGTTAGGGACACTCGGCACAGTGTTACAGCGGGCATCGAACGCCCTTCAAGACGTCAAAGACCAGGCGAGTGGCGTTGAGCGAGAGCTAGCGCTGCGTCGCCTCCAACTGTGGACCCAAGACGTCCTCTCCAAGGTAGACAGCGATCGCACAACGGTCGGGAAACACTGACACGTAGCGCCATTTCTACTCGGTCAAGGTGCAGCTGCGCCAACGCCACCACCGCGGGCTCATTCCAGGCCTCTTTGACGGTTTGCGCGAAGAGTCGGTCCTGACCATGGACGCGGCCAGTGCGACCATCACGGTCGAGTACCCGCGGGCACTGGACCGCCCGGGGAGCCCCCGGCACAAGATTGTCTAATCATGCAAGAGCAACACAGTGTTGTAGTGGTTAGGTCCCCTGAGGCGTCACTTGCTGCGCGATCGCAGCTTCGAGGTCGAGCAAGTGCGGGTCGTCGACATGAATATCGCGCATGCTACACAGTGGAGGTAGGGGTAGGGTCCACGATTCTGCCAAGTGTGCGTACCATTGGCAGAGCTTTTCAAAGTACTCCAAATTGGGGCCACTGGGCCCGACGCGCGTTCGAATCTAGTAAACACAGATCAGCGTACGATGCCCCGTGATGGTGCACCTCGTGCGCCATGACGTTTAGCGGCGCGGGCCCGACAAAGTCCGCGTTGTCGGGCGTCGCAATGAAGACGAGGGCCGAGCGCACGACGCCGTCGGTGCAGTGCACGTCGACTTCAGCGCGATCGTACCCCGCCTAAGCACATTGGATATCGCCGATGCAAAGAGGAAGAGACGCGACCTTTTCGCGGTGGTCGAGCTGGGCGAGGATCTCGGGCACCTCGTCCGCGGGCACCTTGTAGATGCGCCCCCACGTCGGCGCACAGCGCGATGCGTGGCGGTCGAGCGAGGCGAACGGCGCCATGTCGGCGTCCTTGATGAGCGTCACGACGCGGCCGAGCGCGCCAGGCACGCCCCGATGGTCCGGGCTGCCCTGCCAAAAGCGCCGGTGCCAGCCATTCACGTACCCAAACATGGTGTCCTCGACCGGGAAGTCCGTCTTCCAGACTAAGAGGCAACGTCCCAACACGGTCTTCTTGATGCACGTACCAATCGAGCCATCTGTCGTCGAAGCGCCAAAAGGAAGCAATGAGATGAAGGTCTCCTAGTAGAAGGACGTACAGCCAAAGATCCTAATACGTGAACGCAGGCCCATGAGTCGTGCCAATCGACGGCGTTGCTGCGTACCACATGCGCGTATTGCGATCGACCGGCAAACGGGAAACTGCAGCAAGGGATCCGGATGCCACTGGCACCAGCTGGTGGCGCGCGCCCAATCGTCGGTGGTCGCCGCTTCGAGTCATGGCACCGACAGCATTTCGCAGACGCGCGTGGTCCTTGCCCGTTCTCTTGCTTCCGAGTTGATGCTGCTTCGTTCTTACTCTTTGGGAAAAATGGGCTCCTCAACTCGGCGCCGGAGACATGCGATGCGCAGAGGACAATATTGTGTCGACTAGGAAGGAATACAGCGGCGTCGTCTATTCTGCATACTACTACACTGGCGCTAGCTTACTTGCCCGCACGCTTGCGCGCGTTCGGGTCCAGGAACCGCTTGCGGATGCGGATCTGCGTCGGGCTCACGTCGATCATTTCGTCTTCGCCAATGTACGTCACGACGTCTTCGAGCGACATTTGGCGCGCCGGCGAGAGGCGCACGTTCTCGTCCTAAAATCAACTCAATTGATGCAAATGTGGGGATCGAAGTCCGTACCGTCCCGGCGGCACGCATGTTGGAGAGCTTCTTCTCCTTGGTCGCGTTCACTTCGAGGTCCGTCGGGCGCGAGTGCTCGCCGACGACCATGCCCGTGTACACGTCCTCACCGGGCTTGACGAAGAGCTCGCCGCGCTCCTCGAGCATGTTGAGCGCATACGTCTAGTTGGTCGCTTGAGATACTTTTACACGGAGAATGCGTACCGTCGTCTTGCCGTTGCAGGACGAAATGAGCTTGCCCTTGGACGGCACCGAGGCCGAGCCCTGGTACTTCTCGTAGCCGTGGAAGATCGAGTTGAGGATGCCACTGCCGCGCGTGTCCGTCTTGATCTACAGTCCATCTTGGTAAGAAGGACTGGCGAGATTGCAAAAATCGACCTCACTGCGGTAGCCCATCAAGCAGCGCGACGGGATCTTGAAGACGAGGCGGACCTTGTCCTAGAGACACCGTGGTGTGAGAAGCGGCAAACGATGCAAAGTTCTACCTGGATGTCCTTGAACTCGAGGAGTTCACCGCCGCGCGTCGAGAGCTTGTCAATGACAACACCCGAGAAGTCGGCGTCGACGTCGACGGTCACTTCTTCGATCGGCTCGAGCTTGCTGTTGGTCTCTTCGCACTGCTTGAATAGCACGCGCGGCGCCGAGACGCACATCTCAAACCCTTCGCGACGCATCTCTTCAATGAGAATCGCCAGCTGGAGCTCGCCGCGGCCGTGCACGTTGAACGCCTCCGAGGTCTCGCTCGTCGTGATCGAAATCGCCACGTTGTTCTCCGTCTCGCGCGTCAAGCGCTCCTTGATGTGGCCGGACGTGAGGAACTTGCCCTCCTTGCCCGCGATCGGCGAGTCGTTGACGCCAAACGTCATCGAGATCGTCGGCGGGTCGAGCTGCGGCGACGGGATCGACGTCAGCACCTCCGGGTTGGCGATCGTGTCCGAGACGTACGCGTTGACGCCGGCAATCGTAATGATATCGCCTATCATTTGCACAATGTGACACCACTCAGATCTGAGAAACCGTACCAGCTTCGGCGGTTTGGATCTCCGACTTGACCATGCCGCGCGTCACGTACATCTTGGTGACCTTGCCCGACTCGACCTTTTGGCCGTCGCGGTTGACCACGTGGATCGCGTCACCGACCTTGACCTTGCCCGTGTGCACGCGGCCCGTCGCGAGGCGACCGACGTACGGGTCATGGCTACGTGACTATGAGCGGGTCGATCCCAGCGAACAAACAGTGTACCCGAGCATGGTCACGGCCATCGAGAAGGGCGTGTCGAGGTCGACGGTCGGCGCGGGCACGTAGTCGACGATCTGGTCGAGAAGCGCCTTCATCGACGTGCGCGGCTCATCGTCGTCGAGCGACGCCACCGCCCAGCCCTGCTTGGCGGAGGCAAAGAGCACGGGGAACTCGAGCTGGTCGTCGGTCGCATCGAGCGCCACAAACATGTCAAAGAGCTCGTTCTCGACTTCGCCGCCGAGGCGCGACGTCGGGCGGTCGACCTTGTTGACGACGACAAGCGGCTTGAGGCCGCGGTTGAGCGCCTTCGTGAGCACAAACTTGGTCTGCGACATGGGACCCTCGGTCGCATCGACGACGAGGACGACGCCGTCGACCATGCTCAAAATGCGCTCGACTTCGCCGCCAAAGTCGGCGTGGCCCGGCGTGTCGACAATGTTGAGCACCTTGCCTTCGTACTCGACGCGCGTGCACTTGGACATGATGGTGATACCGCGCTCGCGCTCGAGGTCGATCGAGTCCATGACGCGCTCCTCCGAGATCGAGTTGCCGCCGTGCTTGAGGAGCTGGTCGACCAAGGTCGTCTTGCCGTGGTCGACGTGGGCGACAATGGCGACGTTGCGGATGCGGTCGTTCGGGAGGCTGGCGAAGCTCCGGCGGAACGACGGCGGCGCCGGGCGGCGGATCGCAGCGGCAGCGCGACGCAGGAACATGGTGCGAGTGCGGAAATGACACACGCGGCAAACCACCAAGTCGACGCTGCGCGCTGATTGGCTCCGTCGAGATTCAAGATACGGGCAAAGACAAGCACCGCCAACCTTTCTCAAAAGCGTCTCTCTCCCATACTTACAACACGCCTCCCAAAAGAAGACAGCGGTCCCAACGCGTGCCACTTTATCTCCTGACGAAATGAGGTGTGTACATGCAACGTAGACCGAAAACACCTCAATACGCTTGCTTCTACACGCGTCCAAACATTCGCGATGAGACAGTATGGAGATATTGCCACGATTTGAGAGATAGTGGAGAAGCTGGGTTGAGGGAAATGGCGGGCCCGGGGCCCGAGGATGGATGTGGCCGCCCAAGAAGCGCTGCACGTCCTCGAGGAAGCTCCATTTTACTTAATCGGGCGTTCATACGACTGAGTTCGTGGTCGCGGTCGAGCTCGCTGCAAGTCGCTGGCTTCTTCGCATGCCACGGACCCGTAATCCCGCTGCGTTGGCGGTTGAAGCGACGAGCAATCGCAGGGCTCATGAAGTGAGCGCTCCACCAACACACTATGTGTACGTTGCATAGCCCTGAGCAACGCACAAGGGCGTCGTCTCTCGGGCCCACCGTGGTCGCTGACGTTGCCCTCAACGTCCAAGTTCGTTCTCGACGCTTCATCTGGCCTCAGTACGGTATACCGGTAACCAGTCTGGACGCTTGCACACCTACCCGGTGTACGCCAAGTCGAGTTATTGCTGTCGTGCACACTCTGTGGACAATATTCACAGTGGAAACGCGGGCGAGCTCGTTGCGGGTTGCGGGGAAGGGTCCCTTTTTGTGTGCCCCGGGGTACGCCCACCGCTTTTTGCCCTACCCCCACGCCAAGATTGTGTCGAAGCGTCGCGGATGTCGGAGCTGCTCCTGCGCTGGCTCAACGACGAGGTCCAGCTCTCGGTGGTCGTGACCGAGTTTGAGGCGACGTTCGCGAGCGGGTACCTCCTTGGCGAAGTGCTCTTCAAGGCCAACCAGCAGCACAACTTTGGCGACTTTGTCTCGAGCGACTCGGCCGATGCAAAGATTGTCAACTTCTGCCTCCTCGAGCCCTCGATGCGGGCGCTGGGCATTCGCATGGACCCGGTCATTGCCACGAGCGTCATGAACGAAGCGAGCGGCGCGGCCACCAAGCTCCTCTACCAGCTCAAGGTAGGCTGCCGGCCTTTCTGGCACATCATCGCACGAGGCGTAGACGGCGATCGCTCGCGCACATCGGTCCGGCACCGTGTCGTGCCGGCCCTATGCACCTGGCGGCGTTTTGCCCATCCACAACGTGCCAGGTCGGCTGCCCAAGACGGTCTTTGACCCGATCAAGCACGAGTCGTTCGAGCACGCGATCCGACTCCACGTCAAAGCGCAAGACGAGCTCAAGCGCGAAAAGTACCTCGGACCGCGCACGTTGGTTCATGAACAAACGGCGTAGGTACAAGGTGGCGGCGGCAGCGCAGCTAACGCTCGACCGAGTGGCGCAAAAGGCGGCGTACCACGAACACCTCGAGGCGACACGGCAGCAGCGCCTCCACTTGACCAAGATCCAGCGCGAATTCACTCAAGTACAGCGCTCTGTAGCATCCTTTGCATGATACCACGCGCGTAGATCACGACCGAGGGCGAGACCGAAGCCTGGGCGGCCGCGACAGCCAAGAAGCGGGAGCGCGAGCGCCGGAAAGCCCGCTACAAAAAGCTGGTGGCGACACGCGCCGCAGAGCGCCAGGTGCCACCGTTGTACACGTCGTCTTGGCTCATGCGTTCGTAGGCCACGGCGCTGGCGACGGCCAAGGACCAAGTGACCAACGGCATCGCCACGTTCGAAGCCACGGTAGATCTGCACCGACGTCCGTCACGTTGACCTATGGACGGTTTTAGCTCACCGAGACGAAGACGCTCAAGCCGTCCAAAGGCCTCCAGCTCCCGACACAGCTCTCGATCGGGTACGGCATACGGTCGCTCCGCACGACCTTCAAGAACGTCGACGTGACGGTGCCAACGTCACCGACGCCGATGCCGAGTGTCGGCGCCAAGCGCCGGCAGCGCGAACTCCGCGGCGACATCCAGCGCAAGCGCCGCGCGCGGTTTCTGAAAGCGTGCGATAACCACCAGCGCGCCCGCAACGACGACGTGGTCCAAGCGGCGCTCGAAGCCACCTTGCTCCGGGCGACCACCACCGAGGTACACCTCGAGACGAAGGAAGCCAACGTTGTCGCCTACATGGACATCGTCACCGAGAACCGGGCACGCCGGAACGCGCAGTATGCCCAGCGCGCCGAGACGGATGTCGTCGAGTCGGCCCGGCGCGACGCGACAGCGTATGGGATGCTGCACCACCGGTTCACGGACGCTGTCCAGGCGCAGTGCGAGCGCGCAGAGCGCTTGACGACCGCCATGGCGGCGGCGGCGGCCGAGACCAACATCGCTATCGCCCACCACGTGCTTGACCGCGTCGTCGACTTGGCGCTGGCCACGGCCACGTACCGTGAGACTTCGACGTGGATCTTGCCGTCGGACGTGTTTGTCCCGCCGCCGACGTGGCAAGAGATGCTCGCGTTTGGTGTCCACGCCCCAGACGAGCTGTTTGCCGCGGGTTTTGCGTCAAGCGACGCAGAGAGCGTGTTGAACGCATGCGAGATCGAGCGTCACGTGACGAGCACGCGTCACGCATTGGTGACCGAGTCGCGTCTCGAGAGCGATGCCACCTTGCCGGCACCGTCGTTTGTTTACGGCAAGCTGCCACGCGAGCACGTGCTGGGCGAGGTTGTGGCCGCTTGCCGCGCTCGCACCACATCGCCGACGCTGGCGCCACCACGCGTGCCCTTCCCAGCGTTCGCGCTCAAGCTCGCGCTGCTCGGGAAGCCGTTCGCGGGGCGCAAGACGTGTGCGGCGCTGCTTGCGACGCAGTACAACCTCGCGCCGGTCTCGGTGCACGCGCTCTTGGAAACTGCCATGGCCACCAAGTCGGACGTCGGCGTCGTCGCAAAGGACCTCCTCTCCGCCGGCCAGTCGATTCCAAATGCACTGTACTTGACGCTCCTCGAGCGAGCAATCCGAAGCATCGACCCGAGTGAGAAGCGCGGCTGGATCCTCACCGACTTTGTCGCGAGCCTCGATGAAGCCATGGACCTGGAGCGGGTGCTCAGCGGCCACGTGCCCGCGCCGACGCCGACACCAACCCGCAGCGATCATCTCGCGGTACCGCTGCCACCGCCGGCGCTCCCTTTGAACCACTACCTCGGCAAGTCGGGGCTCGACTTGGTCTTCCGGCTCGAAGTCGACCGCACCAAAGTGTTTCGTCATTGCCTCGGCAAGCTCATGGACCCGGTGACGGGCGCGCGCTTCCATATGCAAGACGCGCCGCCGACCGAGGCCGATGCGCGCAGCCGCCTCTGCCCGTGGCGGGACCCGACGATCGCAACCGAAGCGCTCTCGCTCTTCTCGCACGCGTACGACGTGGCGATGCCTTCGCTTCTTGCGTGGTTTGCACCGTACGGCACCCTGCGCACGGTCTCCGGAGACGACCTCGTCGGGGCGATGAGCGACTACATCGATGCGTTTTTGCATGGAGCTGCCGCGACCGAGAGCGCCAACTGCCTTGAGATGGAAGCACGAGCCAACGACGCAATGGCCGCAGAAGAGGGGCGGCAAGGGGCCGTCGCGCGGCACGACGAGACTCTGCGCCTTGCTCTCGAGAGCGAAGCGGCCGCCGCCCAGACGCTCCGGGCCGGCGAAGACGCCAAGCTCAAGAAGGACGAGCTCGTGGCCCTTCGAGTGGGCGTCGAGGCCGCGCACCAAAGCGTCTTGGAGGCGACGCAAGCCGCCCATGCGTTTCTCCTTGCGGACCGCCACGGCGACAGTGCCAACCTCCCACTGCATTTCAGCGTCGTGCCCGAGGTCGATCTCGCGGCCTTGGGCTGCGGCGTCTGGGAGGCTTCGGACTCTCAGTACAAGCGGACGCTCGAGCACGGCTTCTCGATGCTGCGTGCGTACCGCAGCCGCGTCGAGGCGCACGCTGTCAACGTCCTCTCCGAGATGACGGCGTTTGCCCGCCGGCCCGATGCCAAGCAGGGCATGCTGGACGCGTTCCAGTATGACTTCAACAACAGCGTGCTCGACGATATGCGCTTTGACGCCAGCACGAAAGCCGAGCTGCACGTCCGCGTCGATACGCTGCTCGACCAGCTCGGTGCCGTGCTCGATGCAAAGGGCGCGGAAGCCTTGGCTTTACTCGAGACGCTGTTGCGCGACCAGTGGAAGGAAGATGCGCTCACGTCCATTCAGCTCGTCGGCACGATGCTCTTCCAAGCTGAAGTCGACCTCTTCCACGCGAGCGTCACCGTCATCACCGACGCTGTTGCCGGGTTCGAAGTCGGGTTGGTCAAGTCCCTGGATGACGGCAAGATTCCGCTGTTGCCGCTTGGGAAAGACCCGGCTGAGGACGAGAAGGAGGCGGTAGTTGCCCCCACCAAGGCGTCGGCCGCCGCGAAGAAGAAGGTGGTCGTCGAAGCCGAAGTCGTGCCCCTCACACCGGCGCAAGAAGTCGCTGCCGCGTTCCAGAAGGCCAAGGACACACTCGCTATCGTTGCGTCCAAGGCGCTCAAGCTACCGAACGTGCCAGGCACCGCGACACCGAGCGGCGCATCGACAGCGCCGCCGCCGACCACCAAGAAGGAAAAAGAGGCGGGCACGGCCACGCCCGTGGCCAAGAAGGACACGATTGCGTCGTCGAATGCGATTGCAGGCGTCGGGTTCGAGTACGACTACGTACTGAGTCGACTCGCAGCGCTTCAAGACCGGGTGCTCGACACCATGGGCTACGTCGACCTCGTGCTGACGTCGCTCGAGACGGACCTGCGCGCCTTTGTCTCGTCCCGCCTCGGCTACGAGAAGGACGCGATGCTCTCGCTCGTCAAGTGCATTCGAGATGCGATCGAGCACGATGAGAGCTTGCCGTTCCGGCTCCTCCTCGAGGTTGGTCTATCTTACGTGCAGGATGGATGCTGAGATCGTGTGTAGCCGCGGCCAACGGCGCGCACGCCGCCGCTGCGCCAAGAGGTACTTGACGTCCAAGCTCGCATTGACAGCAGTGTCCGAGTGATTGCCAAGCCCAGCGTGCCTCTGTACCCGTCCGTTGAGCACTGGGACGACATGTACCTCAACACGCGGCAGCTCAACGGCGTCATGGCCATGCTGCGCGAGCTCGCGACGGCGACGCTCGGTCACAGCGTCGAGTTCGTGCCCCGAGCGACGTTAAACGAAGGGTTTGCGCGCCTCGCAAGTCGCCCGACGACGACGCTGCCCCGTGCGTGGCGCCGTCGCCTCAGCAAGCTCGGCGCGTACTTCGACACCAAGCACAGTGGTCTTGTCAAGGCCTTCCCCGATGTCGCCAAAGTGCTTCAAGCCAAGCACCGCGTCGACGAGATGGTGCTCCACTTGTAAAAACAAATGAACAATCCATTGCACGCCGGGGCTCGAAGCGACGACCTCGTCGGGTCCGAGGGCGAGTAGCCAGACTCCAGACTCGGCCACCAAGACAAGTTTGCTTGAGCGAGACGTGGGCGATGGCGGAGTGCCCGTTGCCGCCGATGCTGTGGATCAAGATGAACCGTAGGCGAGCTCAACTGTGATTGTTGGTCGCATGCAGTGGTGGGGTGTAGCCCACGTCAACACCACTAGGCCGGGACAAGGCGATGTGAGTTAGCATCTCCATCCGACGGTTGATGCGAGACTGTACAGCCTTTGGCAGCAGTCAGTCGGCGTTGCTCTGCTGCCACTTTCCGTACTTCTGTGTACTCAACTAGCCGGTGGTTAGGGGATACGGCCTCCTTCTATCTGGGCTTTTGCGTGGTGATTGCAGGAGCAGAATCGGCCATGGTCGCTGGTGGTACCATGTCGACTGCAAACGTCAAACTCAAAATGCAAGTCGTCGTGTTGTTGGTAAGAAACTAGTTGCGCAGGACGACGCCCAGAAGGGCCGCATGGGTGTCTTCTACTTGGGGAAGCCGGCGTTGTTGGACATGATGATGCCGACGATGACGCCAAAGATACCGAGCGCACTGGCGAAAATCTCGACAATCAAAATCTTGACGTAGAGGTTGGCGTTCTGGGCGTCCGCAAGCGCGCACGAACTGCCAGCAATGCCGACCGAGATGCCGCTGGCAATGTTGGTGAGGCCGACCGCGAGGCCGGCGCCAAAGACCGCGTAGCCAGCAAAGTAGAGCTGGTTGAGGTCGAGCGGCGCGTCGTGCGGGCCGCGCACGCCGGGCACTTCGACCTTGTTTTGCAAGATGATCGAGATAATGACACCGTAGATGGCTGTCGCTTCGCAGAAAATGATCGACACCAAGTTCTTCGAGCGAATGCGCGGCGCCTTGACCGCCGCGCCGAGCAAGCTCGAGCCCGTCAAGAAGATGCCCCTACGCCGCCAGTCTTAGCACGAGACACGCCGAGAGGATCGCGTACCAGGCCGCACCGATGACGGAGAAGCCAAGGCCGACGGCGATACCAATGTTGCCCCACATGTAAGGCGAAATGCTTGTGAGGACATCACCCCACCCTAGCACATGGGCGGCCATGAGCAACCTGCATGTTGATGGACACGCCGAAGCGGCGCGATGCAGCGGCGCGTGGGCCATGCAGAGAAGGCCGTGTCGCCGGCGCGTCGCATGGCGGCGAGGCGAAGCAGTCGTCTACCTTCGTTGAACAACGCATCCGTAGCCACGCTCATCTCGCTCGTCGACTTCTGCCAAGCTCCCAAATGAAACAGCCCTCGGGCAGCGTCAGAATTATACCTGGCACGGAAATAGTCTTATTCGTTTTCTACTTGCCAATTGTATGTCACAATACACCATATGCGTGTTGAACGGGGAAATGCAGGACAGCATGTAATAGTGTACCCACCTTTCAGAAATAGCGTTCCGTCGCCCACGCTATTTTAGGCCGTTTGGATGCAGTCAATTGGGTGCGACGGCTAAACCCACGCAACTGGACGCTACTGGCGTCTGTACCAACCGGCCCAAGAAGCTTCACCAACCATTCTCTCGAGTAGAGCTACATCAGACGACGGAAATCATCTTGTGCACGCTCTCTTTCCTCTAGAAGCCTCGCAACGCTCTTGATTTTCCCAAGAACGGCAGCGTTGTTGGGTGGTTTTCGCTTATATTTGGGTGTTTTAAGCTTGCCCTTGCCCGAATGATATATATAGTGTACAAACCTTGATATAGAGTTATGATGATGCATGTCGAAAATAGTGTTTCCGCAATCCACTGGAAAGCGCGTAGCATGGCGACCGTCTTCCAGCGCATGCAGTACGCCCTCTCGGGCACGACGGCCGGCCGTCGCTTCCAGGTACGACTGCCACGTCATGACCCGCTTCTTGCGTCATTCTGAGGCAATGCGCGCATCGTAGGAGCAAATGGACATGGCCACGATAGCAATGTTGACACACCTCAAGGAGCTCCATGTTGCCCGCGGTCCTGGCATCGTGACGCCCGAGTACCTGCCTGCAGTGATGCAGTCGCCTTATGGAGGTGGACGTAGGGAGAAGGAAGCGCTGTTCGAGCAGGCTGTCGAGGCCATGGAGACCAAGACATTCGAGGAACACAAGGCAGTGGCCCAGACTGCGCTCACCAAGCAGGTGCGACCCCATTAGCTGGCGCCTGCTCACGATCTCGTAGGCCGAAGCCCTGTTTAGCGCGCTCATGCTTGGCAACCAAGTCTTGCAACAGAAGCCCAACGTCTTCTCCATCACCGCGGAGCGTCCGGCGACGTCGCCCCATGTCCGTGCAGGATCTCGCCCATTTCAACGTCATGCTTGCGTCATCTGTAGACAACCATTGAAGGCTACGTCCAGGCCCACGTCGGCTTTTCGCTGCAAGTGCAAGACTCGACGATTGAGACCGCCGGTCGCGGCCTCTTCTTGCAGGGGACGGCGGTCGCGGGGACGCTCGTCGCCTTGTACCCGGGCACGGTCTACCTCTCGGAGCACTACCGCAAGGTACAGAGCTGTCCCTCGACAATCATGCTCCTTCTGGTCTAGAAATACTTTGACGTTGTCTCCAACAACCCGTTTGCGCGTGCTCGTTTCGATGGCGCCATCATCAACGCCAAGGACCAAGGTACCCAAAGACGCGTCCCGAGCATTGTTTCAGTGTATCAAGTAGCCATTCCGCACGTGAACCATTATGCGCTGGCACAAATGGTCAACCACCCGCCCGCCGGCGCGTCCCCGAACGTGCTGCCCGTCGCATTTGACTTTCCTGCTGCCGGTATACCTAATTCCATTTGGTGGGCCTTTGGCGACCAAGTTGTAGAGCCGTTCACGTCCGAAGCGTTTGCACCGTACATTCCCAACCGCTACGTCGAACAGCCGTCGCTGTTTGCCATGTTTGGCAAGCGCGGTCTTGTCCCGGTACGATCTCATTTGTCTCGGTCAGTTCTTATCGGGGTTAGGGTATCGCACTTGTGACCCTCCACGACGTCCAAGACGAAGAGCTTTTTCTCAACTACCGGTACCATTCTCGTCTCCTGAGACTGTGGACAGGATTTGGTCGGCGTAGGTACAACCCGAGCTTGCCGTACCCCGAATGGTACACGCCGGTCGACAAGGAAGCCGACGAAAAGATGTGGGGCTAATGTGGCGTGCGTGTTATAAAGAACGTTCTTGGAGCGTGCGCTGGACGCGTTCGAGGTGGGCTTGGGTCGCACGGAGGGCGTCTTGGACCTTGTCGGTGGTGGACGACGACGACGGGTGCCACCGGGGGACGTCGGCGGCGAGACAGGCGCGGGTTTTGGCGAGCTCGGCCTCAACGCGGCTTGCGACAGCGGATTGGCGCTGGCTCGTCGCTGCCCGTTCCTGCGGCGTCAAGTAGGCCCACGTTCGGAAGCTCATGGTGGCGTGGATGTATCTAACATATACGTGTTGGTCCATCGCCTTGGCGAGACGGCGCATACGGTTGGTACATGTCTGGTGGCGCGCATAGCAAGATGGACACGGACACACCGGTAGGTAAGAGCAGGGAGGCCGTCGATCCCGCTGCGTCCGCGGCGACGATCGTCCGGTCTGTGAAGATGACGCGGACTCGACCGTCGCCAAAGGCGCGGAAGCGTCCGACGGCCGTCGTCTGGTCTTCGACGACCGCATTCGCATCAACCGCAGGCAACGGCATCTACCGAGATGCAAGCGGTGAGTCCCGCCCAAGGTACGAGGCGCGCACCGACGGCGCTGGTTGCAGCTGGTTGGCGCTTTCGTGTAGAAAGGCCATGGTGTTGCAAATCGCCGTCAGGTCGTACGCGAGCCTACCGCGGTGTCGTTGAGCTATAAGCGGTGGCAAGTTTCGTGCAAACCGAGACGCGGTCGGCGGTGGCACCGACGTGAGGGTAAAGCAGTGTTCGAACGGCGCCTCGGACGTGTAGTGCTTGAAGAACCCTTTGGCAAACACCAGGGTCGAGTTGTCGGCCGGCAGCAACGCCTATAAGGACGCCTTCTAAATGCAGTATGCGAGCGAGGTCGTACGTAGATGCTCGTGGGCAGGACGTGGAACGAAGCGTCTCGCGTCCACTCGGCCACGAGCGGGCGCCGCAGTGTGGTCGCCGGCACCGATACGTGCTGTCCCACGTCATAGACGTCGACGGCGAGGAGCGCTGGCGTCGGCAAGTCGTCCGGGCGCATGGCGACAGCTGCCCAATGCGGCCGCGCGCTAAACGCTCTGTTGGTCGGTGCCGGCGTCGTCTTGTAAGGCGAATCGACGTCAATAGAAAACGTGCTCTGGTGGGTCAGGTGGGCTTGGTGGGCCGCAATAAGAACTGAAGCCGGGTACGCCCAGTGCAAAGGAATCGCTTCCCGGAAGAAGCGCTGCGCGATACGCGTGATGCGCGTCCGAGGCCCGTCGCCCGTGGTCGTAGCGACTGCGACAGTGCACGTGGCATCAAAGAAGGTGCCTGTCGCATCCAGGCAGACGCGGGCAAGGCCATCCAGCGAGTCGACGCCATACGCTCCCGACTCGGATTGCATCGCTTCGAGCTTGAAGCCGCCGCAGCGCCAGCGAAAAGTTGTCGGAAGAGGTCCTTGGCGCCAGTGTACGTCCCGGAGATGGTGCTCGTGCACGTACAATTGTCGGTCGCCGGCATGCAGATTCCGGAACGCAAGGAGCTCCCGCAGAGGCGGTATGTAGACAGACGGACACGAGGCGGAGCTATAGCGCTGGAGTGCGCCAGATGCAAAGGCCGAAGCGTCAATGACGGAGAAGCAGTGGCCGGCTGGCTCGAGGACGAGGCAGACGGCGGTTTGCCGGGACAGCGGCGAGCCCGGAGACGACCGCAGCGAGGATGAGGCGACGTGGCGCCGCAGAGGCCGCTGGTAGCTGCCAATCGCCGTGCCATCTTGCAGCAGCAGCATGCGGACTGCCTCCATGGGCGGGATGGGCAGCGTGCTCGACGGTGCCATCCTGCGGGATCTGCGTGATTTGCTGATGACGGACTCCCGATTGGTCGAATCGAGGACGCGAACGATTGGGTGAAAAGCTTGCGTTAAACCCTTTTCATTGGCTCGTTACAATTCGGGCATTCAGTCCTAGTCTAATCGGACGCAACTGCGGGAGCTGCATTGACGCTTTTATGCAGCCAGCCGACCGGGGCCAAGCGGCGTCTTGACGTCAATGACACATCTCTCTCGCCAGCATTTGGCGGCAAATGCAAGCGCGCGATAGTCGCACCTCCAACGGAGACATCGGTACAACTACCTGTCAAGTGCGTCGCCGCCTCTGCTGTCGAGGACGATCGGTTTGAAATTCGGATCATTTAGGTCTCAACCTCGGCAACGTCCGAATTCGCCGACAATAAATCCTAATTGTTTATCTTTACTTGATGTTTGTATTCGATTGCATTGTATTTCCGTTAGAAAGTGCAATCGCAATGGCTGGCCGCGACGCCATTTTGCATCAAGTCCCATGCCGCCCAAGAAGAAGGAAGAAGTCCCGAAGGTCTACCTCGGCCGCCCGACCAACAACGTCAAGATCGGTATCGTGGGTCTGCCCAACGTCGGCAAGAGTACCTTCTTCAACACGCTCTCGAAGCTCAACATCCCGGCCGAGAACTTCCCGTTCTGCACGATCGAGCCCAACCAGGCCATCATTCCGGTGCCGGACCAGCGCTTCAACTGGCTCTGCAGCAAGTACAAGCCGGCGAGCGAAGTGCCCCCGGTGATCCACGTGACGGATATCGCTGGTCTCGTCAAGGGCGCGGCCGAAGGTGCCGGTCTCGGCAACAACTTCCTCTCGCACATCCAGGCCGTCGATGCCATCTACCACATGGTCCGTGGCTTCGACTCGAAGGACGTGACGCACGTCGAGGGCAACGTCGACCCGGTCCGCGACATCCAGATCATCCAGCAGGAGCTGCGCCTCAAGGACATTGACCGCGTCGCCAAGCAGGCCGATGGCATGAAGAAGAACGTCGAGCGTGGCATTGGCGGCAAGGAGAAGAAGATGGAGTACGAGGCGCTCGTCAAGGCCCTCGAGTGGCTCCAGGACGGCAAGGACATTTCGTTTGGCAACTGGAGCGTCTTTGAAGTCGATGTGCTCAACCAGCTCCAGCTGCTCACGGCCAAGCCGGTCGTGTTCCTTGTCAACGTCAGCAAGCGCGACTACCTCCGCAAGGGCAACAAGTACCTCCCGCTCATCGCCGAGTTTGTCGCGTCGCGCGGCGGCAACGAGCCCGTCATCCCGCTCTCGTGCGAGTTTGAGATGGAGCTCATGGACCTCGAGTCGGGTGGGGCGCTCGAAGAGTTCAAAAAGACCAACCCGAACGACAAGACGATTCTGCCGCGTATCCTCAAGACGGGCTACCACGCGCTCGGTTTGATCCACTTTTTCACGGCCGGCAAGGACGAAGTGCGCGGCTGGACGGTCCGCAAGGGTCGCAAGGCGCCCCAGGCCGCCGGTGTCATCCACACGGACTTTGAGAAGGGCTTCATCATGGCCGAAGTCCAGTCGTTCGCGGACCTCAAGGAGCACGGCTCGGAAGAGGCTGTCAAGAAGGCCGGCAAGCTCAAGCAGCAGGGCAAGAACTACGAAGTCGAGGACGGTGACATCATCTTCTTCAAATTTAACAACTAAACGCGACCTGCTCTCCGTCCCTCACCTGCAGTATTGTCAGTTCGAATCCGCAAGCTAACGCCTTTCACTGAGATGTACTAAGCTTAGTGGGTCAGATATAAGCAGGGGCATTACGTAGTATTAATAACATGAAGCCTCGTCGGTGGCTGCCGACGGATTCACGGGGGCGTCGCGAGGCGGAGCGCTGTCCAGAGCTCGTGCGACTGGTTCTTGAGCGCGGCTTGGAGCATCTCGACGTTGTACGTGGTCGGTGGCACGATTGGGTTGACCTCCGCGCCGTTGTAGTTGCACCACACGTTGTAGTACGGGCTTGATGACGGGCAGTAGGACATGGCACAGCCTATGTCCGTCACGCCCGGCGACAGCATGTTGCTGAAGTGACCGCAATCGCTCCACGATCCGGTCGCGCATTTCTGGGCTTTGAAATTCCACTTGGCCACTTCGCCGTACCTAGTACGTAGTCGGTCAACGAGGAACTACAGTGGCGTCACATATATACCACTGCCACGCGCCCGTGCGGTCGCCCCAGCACGACGCCGACGTTTGGCACGACTCGAAATTGCCGGCCAGATTCTGAAACCCTTGGGGGCCTCCGTGCACAAAGCCCGGACACGAATTCGCAAACGACTGGAGCTTGGCACTCAGCTCGGTGTTTCAGGCGACTACGTTGAGGCCGTGGGCAACACGCAGGACGTTGGTGACGTCCACGAGCCGCTGGGCATTGAATTGATTGGTCGTCGACACATGCTTGGGATCTGGGGCATCAGCGTTGGGCGCCGCGGGTACGTAGAACTGGAGGGCGGTACACGTGACGACTCCGGCCGCGGTGAGCCGCAAGGTGCGCCACATCCACGCTATTATGTTTGTGAAGTGGAAGTGCTGCCTTTCTCTAACTATAGACGATGCACATCACCTCGAAATAGAACCCTACCCCTCGCGGATTAGGGTTACGTATTTCTTCGAGCATGTAGTTTTTTCTTGAACGAGCGACGAGGTTTGACCGAAAGAAGGATGCGGGTGCACCAAGTATACGAGTTGCTGTGAGGAAGCATCCCAGGTTACGGCCACCAACAACCAAGTCTACGAGCGACTACTACGGAAGCGGCGGTATCGGGATGCAGCCATCGTCGTCGTCGTCCTCGTCGTCTTCGGCGTCGTCTTGGAAGAGCACTGCGAGATCCGTGACGCGCGCAGAGCCGAGGTGCTGTTTGCCAAGAATCGAGCGCAGCGCGCCGTGGCGTCCAGCCGCACTGCTTCGCCGGCCGTCGCCGCTCAGCGAAAAGCTTGGACGACGGTCGACGCCGTCGCCTTGAAGCGAGATACTCGGGCGACGCTCTGCCCCCGCGCCTTGAATGGAGAAGCTCAAGCGACGTTCGCTTAGACTGGGCTTGATGGAGAAGCTAAGTCGGCGGTCGTTGAGGTTCGGCTTGATCGAGAAGCTCGGCCGTCTATCCTGGAAGCTTGGTTTGAGCGAGAAGCTTTGGCGTCGGTCCGCCAAACTCGACTTGATGGAGAAGCTTGGGCGACGCTCGTTGAGACTCGACTTGATCGAGAAGCTCGGTCGACGGTCCGTGCCTCGGTTTGCTTGGATCGAAAAGCTCGACCGCCGGTCGTCACGAATGTCCGACACGGTGTAGTGACGCGTTAGCGTCGGCATGACCTTGTGCGCCGACATGGTTCGCTCGAGTCCTTCATCGGACTTGGTATCAGAGTTGGCGGCTACTGTTAGGTCAGTAGTGGCGCGGGCTAGCTCGGGTGCCATCTTCAAGTCCTTGCTGCTTTCTGATGCGTCCTTGAGCGGGATATCGTTGGCAGTCTTTCGGCGCAGTAGCTCGGCCGTCGCCGGCTGCACCGTCGGCACCGTCGTCGTGCCCAGCGACGCGCGTTTGATGTACATGGCGGCTCTCTGGCTCGTGATGATCTTCTTGAGTCGTTGCGTCGACTGCCGCAGCTTGTTCTTATTAACTAGAATAGGATATATGCTATGAGACACTCGTGTCGCCCCGTCGCCACGACTAACGTACACACAATGATGTGGGCGACCATCAAGCTCCGGCGTTCGTGCTCCGAAAAGAGCTGCGACGATTTCACAACATTATAGTAGTAGACCGAGCACAAGAGCGTGACGCTGGCCAAAACACCGACGACGACGACGTTGGAGTACTCGGGGGCGGACGGCAGCGCTGTGGCACAGCACGCGACAAAGCAAGCACCAAACACAACCGTCGCATACCCGGCGGCGAACCGGCGACGGGCGACGGCGCCGCGCGCCACCGCCGACGCCTGCCGTTGCACCGACATAGTAAAGTAAATGTACCCGTAGCACTGCGCCATGTACATGATGGACGCGCACGCCGCGGCGCACGACCGCAGGCAAAACAAGGGAAGATAGTGCGAGGTGAGGCACGCGAGGATGCTGAGCGCCGAGCCGACGTAGAGGGCGCGGCGCGGTGTCCGGTGCCGACCGACGCGCCGCCGAAGCGACCGGTGCACCAAGCGCGACGAGCCCATGTACGAGAGCACGCGGCTATAGCCGTGCATAAAGCAAAGAGCGCTGGCCAGCATGCTTGGCACCGAGAGGAAGGAGGCAACTTGCATCGAGACGCCCCAGCTGTCGGCGAACCCGGGGGCGAGCGGCGGGTACTGGGACGGGGCCGTCCAGCGCAAAGGGGCAAAGACGACTGTGATGCTACCGAGGACAAAGGATGATGCAACTGCGACGCGCATAGCCCGGCGCTTGACGATCGGGAGTGTGATCTGCGGGTCGTCAACGTCCTGGCCGCAGAGGTTGAGGCACTCAAGCCCCATGAAGAGCCGCATTTGCGACGGTGCGAGCGCCGCGAGTTCAAACCCCGAGCTCCACCCGCTCTTTGTCCGCAGCGACCGCCGTTCGAGCTGCGGAACGCTGCTGCAGATGTACATGAGTAGCCCCAAGATCGTGGTTGCTGCGAGGACAGTGTAGGTGTTCCAGACGCTGGGGCCGCCCACCAAGTGCAGGCGCGTCAGCAGCACATAGATGACAAGGTACGCGATCGGAAGAAACGGAGTGCTGTCGGGCGATACGAGCGCGATGGTTGCACCGAGAGACTGCACCGCGTCGGCCGTGCAGAGAACGTACTCGAAGCACTCGGCTATGGCGACGAGGTACCCGCCGTAAAAGCCGATAGCGACGCGCGCGAGGCCAAACGCGCCGCCAGAGAAGGGTATTGCTGCAAGCAAGTCGCTTGTGCAGACGCTCATACTGTAGAACGCCGACGCGAGAAGCAGGTAGGTGACACCGGCGAGCGTGGCGTCGGACGCGTCCCAGCGAGCGAGGTACTGACCGCTTAGAACAATCGAGAGCGAGAAGGCCCAGAGGTGCCGACGACGTACAAGGAACGCGGCGTCGATGCCGAGCCCGAGGCTGGACTCGCCCCGCGACGACGAGACCATCGGGGTGTAACGTGCAGGAAGCTATGTTTAGAGAGAAAGGCGCTCGTCTGAGTCGGACGTTCTAAGTTCTACCACGCTCGACAACACGGCGCCTAAGTTTTGGCGCAACTTTGGCATGCTCACGTCGTCTCGTGAGCCGATGAATTGGCCTTCGACTTGCTTGGTTCGAGCTAGCGTGGTGGGCATTCGCTGTCGTTGCAGAACAGATGGCGTCGGCTGTCGATGCAGTAGATATCCTGGTACGACGATCTATATGCTGGTACCACGTCTGGCGAGGTCTCTCGGTCCGAGAGACCTCTGCGGTGTTGCGACTGCGCGACTCCGCGTCATTTTGCACCAAGATCACCGGGGCGAATGGCGCACTCGGATTGGCTCAACGCTCCCGAGCTTTCAGCCAATGGCCTCGCGTATGCTTGGAACCAATCGCGCAGAGCTATCGCGCAGAGCCCAATCGAATTATCATGGTCAAGCGACGCCGCAACACGGGCGACGGAGCCAAGAAGCGCTTCAAGGCCGACAAGAAGGCGGACAAGAAGGCCGAGGCGACCGCCGACGGCGAGGCGCCGGTGCCTGCGACGGGCAACAGCAACGACACGGAGAATAAGCCGACGCCCGAGCTCATCCAGGAGGCCAAGTACTACCTCGAACAGTGGCAAAAGCTGACGGCCGACCCGAGCGCCAAGACCGAGACGGGCGAGCCGATTTGGCGCTTCAAGAAGGCCAAGCAGGTGTGGATTTTGCGCTGGATGTACCGCGCCGACGTCGTCAACAAGGCGCTGTTTACGATCGTGCTGGAGTACCTCGGCGGCATGCAGGGCACGGCGCGCGACCGCGTGCTTCGCGAAGCCCAAGACGTCGTCGACGCAACCAAGGACGACGGCGAGAAGGTGCCCGAGGCCGAGCAGACGCTCGAGCAGAAGCTCCTGCGCCGGAAACTCAAGCGCGCGTACCAAATCGCCAAGGTCTTGGCGTAAGAAGAAGCAGCCATCCAACCACCTACTATTCTACTAACATCACTTTGAAAACGTACCTTTCGCGTCGTTCTCGCATATGTACGACGATGCCAATGGAGCGGTGCTGTGCAAGACTCGCGACTCGTAGGGCAAGGACATTAATGACCGTTTTAGAAAAATGGCTATTGACAATAGTGTACATCTTAGCGACAAACGTTAGCCTTGCGCCGACCGACTAGCGGCGAAGATACGCATCCTTGTCAACGCGGCCATACTTCCCGTAGTCTTGGCGAGCACTACCGTAGCTCGGCCCACCGTACGTCTGGCGCGCGTCGTAGCCAGCGCCAGTGGCGCCCCGGACGTTGGAGCGGCCGTACCCACGATCCCCGTAGTTGTTGTCATACGTGGCGCCACCGTTGCCGTAACCCACGCCTTGGTTGCCGTAGCCGATGTTGTGGTCGCCGTAACCAGCACCTTGGTTCCCGTACCCGGTGCCGTAGTTGGTAGCTTGGTGGCCGTAGCCGAGGTCTTGGTGGCCATAGCCAGCACCTTTGTTGATGGCACCGCGCTCACCGTAGCCAACACCCTGGTTCCCGTAGTTGCCAGCTTGGGTCCCGTATCCATCGGGCTTGTAGCCATAGTCGCCGTCCTGATGGCCATAGTTGCCGCCCTTGTTGTCGTACTTGCCGGCCTGGTTCGCGTAGTTGCCGCCCAGACGAGTTTTGTCCGTGCCGTCATCGCCTTCATGACCGTTCGACCCAGCTGTGAGCGGCGTGGACGCATCGAGGCTGCCGGTGCTTGACGCGTCTTGGCTAGGCGTCGCGCTGACCAAGGTGGCCGGCATCGGAGCGGCGGTGGCGTCTTGCCCAGCAACGACGGCGGCGAGAGCAGCAAAGAGGAGAGCGATGATCGAGTGCATTGTGGAACTGTTGAGGCGAGTGCTAAATGCAAAGTACTTACTCTCATGGCCACCAACGACGCTGCTTCGGTCGCTATAACATGGACTTCCTATACAACACATCGCCACGCGAATAGCGCGGACCGTCAATGGGCTCGTCATTAGTACCTGTCATTGGGTCTTCTTGTGCTGTCCAGCCACCAGGCCATTCTATGCCCTATTCCAGTTGACCAACGATCGTCAAACGTGTTGATGGCTTTGTATATTAGCAATCGACTACTACACCGCCAACACTACTACTAGTGTCGTGCCAAGAACAGACAGACTCGACCACGAGAGCGTGACGCTACTGTCACTCGTTTTCGAGCTACTGGAACTCGGCACTGCCACCGACGATGGCGGCATGGTCGCGTTGCTGCCGCACTTGAGCGCCGCGAGTTGGTCGCTGGAGAAAGGATTCTTCACACCAGGGTCGGTCGGTGTGAAGGACGACAGCGCGAGGCTCCCGCCTTGCGTCCAAGTGCAGCAAGGGTCCAAAAGCTCCTCGCCGTTCGTCGCGCCGTCGCCGTCCGAGTCGAGCTGGCAGAGCGTCTTGGTCCATGATGAACCGTACTTGCTAAAGGCGTTGCCAAACGCGTTGAGGCTGCGGTCGCGGCCGTCGGGGTCGGCGTGGCCAAGGGCTGGGACCCCAGGCACGTTGCCACCGTTTGGGAGCCGAATGACGTAGGCAGGACGCGCGACCACCGTCGAGAGAGCGAGGGCTGTTGTAATCCACTGCATTTTGTCAAGTGACCTCTCGATAAAGTCGCCACGGAGGAGGTATCCAGGGCTAGGTGCAAGATCCTCACAACACCTCTTGGAGGCATATGTCGCCAGACCCTTCCCCCATCCGACGTCTGAAAGGTGGAAACTGGCAGTTGCGAACTGGTATGTGGCCAGAATGCGCCCGATCGCTTGCTTCTGGCGACATGAATATGGACACGACTGCAGTCGTTTCGACCAAATAGGCGACCCAAAATGCACCGCTGTCCTACTGGGATGGACTGAAAACACAACTACGATTAGTATGTGGCGGTGGCATTCCATCGACAGCTTCACCGCTAATACCATAGTGTCAAAACAAAAAATGGCTTGTTGAAGCTTGACGCATCGGGGGTCGTGTAAGGCTCAAGCGTCAGAGGCTTGAGCCATGGAGCTAGTGTAACCAAGTTTCTGCATCGCAAAGTCTGCTGGTTCCAAGTGCAAAGTCGGGGTCGACAAGAGAACAGAGTAGAAATATATATAAGATATTCCCAATGATTACCAGAGCACAAGTGCAACGACTGTGCCAAATACGAGGCCGATGCACGGCAGAATGGTCGGCGCTGCGCTGGGCTTGGGCGTTGCCGACGACGGCGGCAGCGTCGTGTTGCTGCCGCACTTGAGCGCCGCGAGCTCATCTTTTGAAAATGTGTTTTTTACCCCCGGGTGCGTCGGGGTATACGTCGATGTGAGGCTCCCGCCTTGCGTCCAAGTGCAGCACGGATCCAAAAGCTCTTCGCCGTTCGTCGCGCCGTCGCCGTCCGAGTCGAGTTGGCAGAGCGTCTTGGTCCACCCACCGCCGGTGGCGCTGAAGTCATTGCCAAACTTGTTGACGCTGCCGTCGCCATTTGGGTTGGTGTGCCCGAGTGCACTCACACCGGGGACGTTGGCGCCATTTGGAAGGCGAATGACGTACTGCGAACGCGCTGCGACGCCCGCGACCACGAGTGCAAGCGTGAATACGTGCATGTTGAGGAATGGGCTTGTTGCTGCTGCAATTGAGAAATGCCAACATCTTTGCACTACCGTTGATAGGCGTTGGACACGATCCTACCCGACATTTTCGATTTGAAACGTAAAACTACGAGTTTCGGACGAATAAGATCCGAGTTCTAGATATCTGAGTTCTGGTGGCGTCCTGGCGTGTCCAAAGGGATCGTACAACATGCCGGTGTATGAAATCGAATGTAGGAGTATTAGCTCGGCAAGTGGTCGTTGAAGAAGAGGTGGAGACGGTCGGCCAGCGGGAGGTACGGGTTCGGGTTGCGGTACACGGCCACGGCGACGACGGCTTCGATGAACTCGCCAAACGTCAAGTCGAGTTCGAGGTCGTTGGACGACACGATCGCCTCCGTGTGGTGCATCGCGCTCAGAAACACGAGCTTGGCGCGCGGGAACGGGAAGATGGCGTCAATCAAACGCTGGTCCTTCAACCAATTGCTAAATTCCGCGAGGTTCATGCTCTTGGCCCGGTGCTCCACCGCGTAGAACGCAAACACCTTTTTCAGCTTCTTGTCAGCCGCGCGCACGACCGCTTGCACGTCCGAGGCGCCCAGTTGGCGCTTGAAGAGTGTCAAATTCTGCTTCTCGCGCTCGGACGCTAATTTCAGTAGCTTGGTTTCGACAAAGTCGGTGACGCTGCCCACGAGCGACGGGGGGGCGTCGGTCGTTGCGGCTTTCTGACTGAGGTGATGCGCGACGCGAACAATGGCCTCTGCAAACTCGTGGGTCGAGAGACAGCGCTCGGCGCCAACGTCGTGGACGTCGGTCGTGTGCTGGACGAGCACTTGGAGGTACCCGCGCGCCATGAGCTTCCGGTCAAAGACCCCCGTGTCGGAAATGAGCTTGTAAAACTCCTGCTCCGAGAGGGAGAAGCCCGCTGCGCTCACGCCGCAGCTCTTGAACAACGTGATGAGCGGCACCACGTGCTTCCGGAGGAGGTTCTGGATCGAGCGAAAGTCGTCGGGTTGCGGGCACATGAACTCGAGGCGACTGTTGTCGAGCGTGATGGACGTGGCGAGACGCTGCTTCTCGAGCGCGACTTGCACATTCGTGCTACGCCCGGTGCTGCGGCGTGCGAGGTCCTCAAACCCCGAGGCGAGCGCGTGCTGGCTGTGCTGACCGACGATGAGTGCAGTTGCGTAATGCAGTCGCAGTACATGAGCTTGGGCGTGCTGGACCGTCTCGAGGTCCCGCAAAATGTTGCGGCAGCTCTCGCGCGTCGCCGGGTCCGACTCGTACGACGGAAAGATGTCGGGGCGCAGCGCCGCCCAGACGCCGTCGATCGACAAGCGCAGCTCGCTCGTCGGTGCGTCCGCTGGCGACGCCACCGATTGGTGGTAAAACTGAACAAAAAAGTGCAGCAGCACGAGGTAGTAGGCGCCAAAGTCGCTGCTTTCCATGTCGTCGCGCGTCACCATCTCGTGACCAAGTGCTGCGTAATTGGCCGCCAACTCGAAAAAGAGCTTCCACTGCATATGGTGCTGGGCGTGGTGACTGCTTGTTGCCAAGAGCGGGTCGCGACGGCAGGCGTCGTCGTACCGCGTGTCGTACGCTGCTTTGGAGGCCGGTACAAAATGCCAGAGCAAGTGCAACAAGAGCGTCGGCGACGCCATGTGCAGGTAGACGTCGCTCAACGTCGGCAGCGGCGCGAGGACCTTGAGCGCCGCAGTGGCGTTGATGCTCTCGATCGCCGCGTTGACCCAGCGCAAGACGATCGCGTGCGGGGGCTCGGCCACGACCCGGGCCGCGACAACGTGGAGCGTTGTGTTGGATGCAAACGGAACGTCGATTTTCGGGACCGTCATGTCGGCGACGAGCGAGAGGTCGTGGACCATGAGCGAGTCGATCACCGACTATAGACCGCACTAATATTGAGCTCGAGTACTAATGATGTGGATGCGCACCGATGCGCACGTGGGCTCGAGCGCGTAGGCGACTGTGTCGGGCGCAATGGCTTTGTAGTGCAGCAGCTCTACTCCCATCGATAACATAGGCAGGCAAGAATAGGCAAAGCGCACGCTGGAGACGGAGGTCGACAAGTGGCATGAGCTGCGTTGTCACGGCGATAATTTGGTCCATTGCCATGAGCAACGAGCCTTTGGCTTCGTTGAGCAAGCCCTTGGCCTTGGCGAGCTCCTACCGACACGATGACGGCGTTCTAAGGACAGGAGTCGGTACTACCTCGGACGTGCGCGCTTGATTGTTCGACCTACGATGAATCGCAGAATACCAACTTTGGGACCATAATTCAGACAGCGTACATGAGCGTATCTTTCATGTGCTGGCAGCGCTTCCGGAGCCGGGTGGTCACAAACCGCATCCAGAGCATCCACGCGCGTTGCTTGGCCACTTTGCGGCGTCTGCATCCAAATGTATCAACTTGATACCGAACGACAGAGTGTGATACTTGTCGAGTGCGATCGTCCACCGCAGCGCGCGCTGGTCTTGGCACGAGTCTCGGAACGCGGCCCACGCACGGAACGTGTCGGCCTTGCGCCGCGACCGCGCCTGCATGTCTTTGATCCTAATGAGCCGCGCCATGATGTCTTCGCCCGCCGTCGCCTCGGCGCGGACTTTGCGCCATGCCTTGAAGATCATGCGCATGATGTGGAAGCGCAGCGTGTCGGAGGTTTTGCTCATGATGCTCATGGCGACGCGGGTCCGCACCATGGTCGCTTGGCGGAACGCAGCGTCCGCTTGCAGCGCCTCAGCGTCAAACTGGGCGTAGCGCAGCAGTTTGCGCGCCATCTACGTCCATGAATGTGTCCCCGAACAAGAAGACACATTGTGTACCTTGCTCGCGCTGATGTGCGGGTCGAGACTCAAGAGCGTATTGACCACATAGTGCATGCGTGGCGCCTCGCGCACGCGCTGACAACCGCAGAACGAGCACTGGAGCTGCCAGAGCATGTTGTTGCCGTGGCAAAACCCACAGCGCGGCGGCGGGGCCTGCGAGGACGGCGGCGCCTCGGTCGAGCTAAACTTGACGTACTGCATCGTGCCCTTGCCGTACGCGACGCCGACAACTGGTCGCCCGCACGCGTCAACAATGCGCGGGTGTGTCGTCGGCGCGCGGCGATGACGCGTCTCGAGCGGGTCGGTGTCGTCACTGCCGACGGTCGATTGGCCACGGCTTCGGAGCGTCGACGCACTTTGGACGCTGCGGAGGGCCTTGTTGTTGCTGGGCGCCTCGTATTTCTCGTGTGTTGACGGCGGACGAAAGGGTTCGCTTCCGAGGGACGGGCGCTTGCTTTGCACGAGCTCGGTGATTGAGGCGCGCAGCGGCAGCGACGCGCGGCGCCCACGGCGCGCTGCAATCTCGGCGGCTTCACTCATGATGCCGTCTGTCTAGGCGCCTACGGTTACGCTCCGTGGTTTTAAGAATGGTCTTCAATGCACACGCGATTAGTGTAGTCTTTGTCAAAGCAACTATGTATTATAGATATTCACTACTAGAACTTGAGCAATTTAGCGAGACTCGGGCGCTACTGGACGGTGATGGTGGTGTTTTTGAGAATCTTGATGTTGAACGCGAGGCTCGTGATGGCCGTGTACTTGTGGTCAAGGAGATACAGGTTGCAGTCGCCGTCTTGCACGACAAGGCAGCCCGCGTCGCTGCTTGCAGCGGCACTCGCCTCGGGCACGACAGCCGATGCCGACGATAGCGGCTTGTGGGGCGACGTCTGCGGTGTCTTGACGGTGATGGCTTTGCTCTTGTTGGCCCGCAGCCCCTTCTCGGGCAAGCCAAAGCACACCAAGTGGCTCGTAAAGAACCAATGCAGGGTGCTAAGCCGACGCGCCGTCACGATAATCACGGCCCCGGTCGCGGCCTCATCCGGCATCACATCGTCGAGGTAGTCGCAAAGAATCGAAGTGCTGTTGAAGATGGCTTGGCGCGCGAGGGAGTTTCGGGTCATGATGCGCCAAAATTTGAAAAAAATCAGATGGTCGAGCGCTGTCATGATCAAGACGTTGGCGATCAAGCCAGTGGTGATCGACGACGCGACGCGCATGTAGAAGCCGTCAAAGACGTTGATGCAGATACCGTCGATGCGCTGGGCAGAGTTGCGTACGTCGATGGTCACCGAGTTATTGTACTCGATGAACGGCGGCACGTAAAAGAGCAGGATCGCAGAGAAGTAGAGCGTTTTGACGCTGCTCCAGTTGAAGAAGCGCATGACGGCACTCTCGCCATTGAAGGTTGCGACGCCAAGGAGGTTCCAGAGGATCTTGCACCCTTTCAAAATCGCGCAGTTGACCCAGAGAAGCCGCGTCGACAGCGAAAAGAGCTGCAGCGAGTAGAGGAACTGCGGTGCGTACATTGTGTACAAGTTGACGTTGCGCATGTACAATAGGCAGTTGGGGATGTCGATGAGGACGCTCGCCGCATACAAAAACACAAAGAGGTCCGAGTTGTAGCAAAACATATCAAAGCGCAGCGCGTGGCTCTGGTGCCGGAAGACCTTGGGGAGCACGCTGCGCATCGCGCGCGTCACGACCGACTCGGCTTTGGTCGGGTCCACGTCGTGCCACTGAACTGTGCGGCGGCTCGCAAGGTACCCAAAGACGGCAAACACGATGGCCGTGATCTTGGCGGCCAGCGCGACTTGACCAAATGCGCTGTTGGGCATGACGAACCCGAGCTTGAACATCGATCCGGGCAAAAAGCGCGAGTCGGTGACCGTGAGTGTCTTGGCCGTGTCATTGTACACCATAGTCATGTTGCAGACCGAGTACCCGAGCTCGGCGACAGGGTCGCAGCCCGAGCAGAACGATCGGCTAAAGATGCGGTAGTAGTTGACACGATGTGTTTGGGGCAAACTCGAGTTGACAAGTGCAATCTCAGTCGTGAAGCGTTTATCGACGGTCGTTCGTCCCGGAATGTAGTTGCGAGCGAGAAGCTCGTCGGCAGTGAGGTTGGCATTGCCGAGGTTCGCCGTTGCATCGTCCGAGAAAAAGTGGGTCACGGCGTTGCCCCGAAAGAACGTGACGGCATCCGACATGAGCGCGAGCTTGACCTTGCTCGAGACGGCGACATCCACAGCGTACGTCGACTTGAAGATCGGGCACAAGACCGAATTGGGCGTGAGCGCAATGTCGCCGGTCTGGATGACGTAGATCTTGTTGCTTTTTGTGACCATGTTGACAACCGAAAAGTTGGACATCCACTGGCCCAAGTTGGACAAGTTGTCGACGCCGAGGTTCTTGGCAAAGCTGTACTTGGTGCTGAGCTGCGCGAGCGACTGCACTGACGCGATTGGCGTCAGAAAAAAGTACCCGCCGCCAAGAAAGTTGCTGATCGCCCAGTTGTTGGCTGTTGCGTCGCCCGCGATCAAGAGAATGACACACAAGCCCGCGATCGTGACCACAAATTGGTACCATTTGCGGAGCTTGGAGCGCCAGCGCTCGTGGCGTATGGACGAAACGAAGGCTTGCGTCGGGCTGTTCATGGGCCAATCGATTTTGGCACGTGGCTATTTCGTCGCCTTCGTTGACGTTCGGTTTTGCCGCGTCTCGATATATACATTAGAAACCGCAACGGCTCGGGAACCAAGCACCGCCCATTGCCAGGGGGTGACAATTGCCTCCACATAGTAAAAACAAGTACAACCATGGAGACATTCGAGCGAAGCTTTCCTATATTTTCGAGACCTGTGTGCTAATTGAAAATGTCGAGTGTGAAGTAGACGAAAATGTATATCCAAATATACTCTTATTTCAAAATGTATATCCTTGTGTGCCAAGATAGCACTGGGGCTTGCACACCTCAGCAAGAGATCGACCCATGATTGGTTTGAAACTGCGATTTGTCTCCCTTTTCAGCCAATCATATCCGATTATTGCCTTTTTTGGGTTTGTATTGTCACCCCCCTGCCATTGGCCCATTGCTGTGTAAACGAGGTGGTGTGTTCATTGTAGGACATGGAGGACACTGTTGGATGGTTCATGGTTCCTTACACATGTGCTCTGTGCGCTAGTTGTCATTACGCTTCAATGCACGTACTAGTATGCAGCACTGCCATGTTGACGTGATAGCGCGCAACAGCGTTATTCCTGGAAACACGAAAGGCCATTG